TTGCCAATACTGTGGTCAGAAAGATAGGCAGTAGAGGAAGTCGGTCGTAAAGTGAAGACTTTAGTCCATTGTGCAGTCTGAAACCGAGCGTGGAAAGTTAGTGAAGGACGTGTCGATCTTTACCGAGAAGAAAGAGAAGGTGGAGAAGTATCAGCAGGCAATTGTCGTTTAGGCGTGGGACCAGAGTTGGTCCGACGTGGAACGGGCCGGCTATTCGAAAATTGCCGCACCGTAGAGGGAGAGGCCGGAAGCATAGTCAAGAGGAGAGCGAAGGTCAGATAAATTGAAGGAGTCAGTCGAGGCCTCGGTACCTGAAGTGGGCGAGGAAACTGCACCGGCAAGAGGTACAGAGGCATGAGGAGTGTCCGAAGAGTGGTCCAAAGACGAGGCGGGGTCAGAACGGGGTGTGGTATCAAGGGGCCCAGGGGTAGCAGGTTCATGGACTAGGGCTGCCATGGTTAGGTTACTTTAATAAAAAAAAAGGGGGGGGACTGGGGAGGGATAGTTCCTAGGAGGAATGAAAGGGCCAGAAATCTCCCTCCGCACCCAAGAGGACCTCAGCACCGCAGATGCAGCATTGAACCCGTGCCATACCTTGCCCATCATGCCAGTAAACCGGCAATCTGGGACAGCAACTTCACATCTGCCGAGCTACGTCGGTGGACAAAAGAGGGCGTACGGAAATCCGCCACAAAGAATACCTCCTTCGGCCACCACCCCTGGAATCCGAAAGGTGGCTTCCAGATATACACCCGTCGCCCAGTATCCCTCTCCGGGATACCGGAGAGGATTGGGACATCCCCAGGCAATCCAGATTCCACGGCAAACTACGCCACCAAGAACCTCAACGGAATGGGATGGACCCCGGTACCCTTTCCCCTACCTAGGAACTAGCGTGCCTGTGGGAAAAAAAATCCCAAAGGCCAAAAAGGGCAAAAGGGAGGGGTGGGGAGCAGGAGGAAAGGACAAAAAAAGGGAGCATGGGATAGGGAATGGGGGTAATTAGGTTCGGTCTGAGGAAGGGGACCAAGAGGTCTAATTCATCAGACCAAGAGCCTCGTCACCACGCCAAGGAGCCCCCCCTTGAAGAGGAAAGGTTTTAGAGATGGGTATAAAGTAATATTTATACAAGTAGTTTTAACAAGAAAACATGCTTCACAATTTTTAGAGCCTTATCAGACAGGAGGAAACTGCTAGAAATAACTACCCACTTCAGCTTCAACTTTGAAACTAAACTTCACACACACACACACACACACACGATCATGCGTGTAATCTGGTTCGTACTTTTCCTTTGACACTTTAGTACTACTGACGTGTCTGCATCATCCACTTTAAATTTGAGGGACTAGTTTTCCTGTATACTTTACATTAGTCATTTTTTAGATGAATGTTTTTTTTTTTCCCATACATTTTCTCTTGTGCGCTTCCAGACTACCTTAGCAAGGTTTCTATACCCCAAATTAACTTTAGTGATCCGTAGACTTCTCCAGTACACAACTTTTCAGCGCCAGTTTGCCCCACATTTGAAGGTATTTGCCAAACTAACCAGAACTTCACCATTTATTTTTTTCAAGCTGCTGTATGGGGGGAAACTAACCTCTAAAGTTTAGGTACAACTAGGGAAAGGGAGGCTCCATTTTGTCAGCCAACTTAAGAACAGTGCAGATTCACGAATTTTTCCTTAAAGCTTTTAGGAAAAATAGCTAGGACTATTAAGCAACCTTTAAATCAGATATTTATGGCACTACCTATAGTCTTGGGTGTACAGACATCTGAAAGATATACAATAGTAAACAGTGGCGTCGTAAGGATGGGGAGGGGGGGGGGGCTAGCTGCCAGGCAGAGCCTTTAGAAGTGACTAATGCCCAAAGAGTGCTGCAACAATAAGCTAAGCAGTACGAATAGGCTTATAGGGAAAAAAATCATTGATTTTTAATGACGTCGCATTGAAAATTGGGTAGCACTGAAAATTGGGTTGGGCAAATGTTTAGTTAGTGGGACGAATTTTAAAGGACCTGCCTAGTATGGGCCAACAGGCCCGCTGCAGTGTCTTTTTTGTTATGTTGAAGGCAAGGCAATTCAAAACCAGATTGAGAAGTTTCCGGTACTCAAAGTTAAATCAACTAGCGTGAAAGTTTTTTTTTTTTTTCTTTAATTTAGGATTTCATGTACTGTGGTATTAGAGTTTCCTCATTACGATTTGCTTAAAGTTAAATATTCCCCTGTTCTGTTTATGAAGACTGAAAGTTCTCATTGAGAAGCATTAGTCACTGGGCATGCAGTAGTGACGCAATTTGAGTTTACTCTCTATCCCCCGCTGATTTCACAGGTGGGACACCAAGCCTAGCAACGCCACTGCTAGGCAACAATGTACAGCTACTGCTTTAAGCATGGAAAGCTTATGACTAAGCTATGATTTAGTTTCATGACTTTAAAGTCTGGCCAGGTACCAGCATAGATTCCTTTAGATTTACAAGGACTAAGGTTGAACACTGCAGTAGGCCTATTGTCCCATACTTGGCAGAAACTTTACAAAACTAATCCACTAAATGCGGGGGAAAATTATACCTGAAGTGTCTGCAGCCTCAAGCTGCAGACGCTTCAGGTAACAAGCTTTTGAGAGTACTGGAAGTAAAGTTACTATTTTCCGTAGTTTTATTCACCAGTTCTCTTTGGAACTGAAGTTTCAAGCCGTCAGTTAAAAATCACTTTTCTCCATTATTATCCAACAATTTGTCAAGTCGTCTAAAGGCTTTTGATAAATGGTTTAAAATCGACAAGTTGAAGACTTGAGACTTCTGGGAATCTATTTCAGAAACTATTCGCCACAGCTTCAGTCCAATACAAATTGGAAGGGTACAAGCAGAGCGAGTTTGAGGTAATCAGTCTCAGCCTGGAGTCTTCAGTCCATCAGTTAGGAAGTGATGGACTGTTTAATGACAAGCTCTCTCCCCCTTCCCCTTCGGTCTTGCACAATTCATCCCTCTCCAACCTTTCAAAGGACTACTGCCCCTCCCACACTTTCACTCATCTCTAACTGAGTAAACTACTCCAGGGCCCTCCGCCACTCTGCTCTAGTACTTTCCGTAAGCACTGTACTTTTTCTGGAGACCGGGTCTGAGTCAAAACTACCTTCTTATTAACCACTAAGCTAATGCTTTGGGAAAGAATGGTACGGGTGGGGACTGAACTCGCGGAGACAGAAGTGACCGACGTGTTAGTCACTAGGTCAGCTGGCTACAGAAAGATTAAGAATCTAGATTTTTTTAAACGGGAAAGTTAACATTGGCACCACTGACTGCAAATTAAAGTTCAGATTAATCTCGCCAGCGTGATAGTGAACTCTAGCTAAAGTCCCCCGAAGGTGTTTGCAATATTTACACTTTCCCTAGCAATGCTCTGAGAACTGGCATAGGGCATTCCAGGTAGTTCTTAATCTATCAAGATTAAAGTTTCTTCTGTTCCGAAACAATTACCCTGGTTAACGTTGTGTGGTAATGTTAAAATGCTTGCCTAGTTTATCAAAGACATTTAAAATTAAAATACTTTGCACGTGATAACTGGTATAAAAACTAAAATAGGGTAAAAAATAGAGTACATGTACTTTAGAGGAAGAGCCAAGAGCAACATTAAATTTGTGAAGGTACGTTTCACTTATCAGAAGTAGGTTAGTCCAGTGTAAATAAACCAAGGATCACTGCAGTAAGCCTGCTAGCCCATGCTAGGCAGGTTGAAGTCTCTTCACTTGAACCAATGCCTCGCCTAGTCAGGTCGAACACCACTTTTGTATTTTACCTATTTTTAAAACTAATCTTATTTCCAATTATAGTACCGAGTTAGTTCCCATCATCCACAACTTTCTGTACGAGTGCTTTCCTATATTCTCCCTGAATTTGAAGTTTTCCAATTTAAAACAATTGCTTAGTCTGTTCTTTGCTAGGTATTTTCAGCATGCTATTTACGTACCCTTCATTCTAGTTTTCCAGCTATGCACCTTAGCTCACATCTTCCCCCACCCCCTTTACGTAATTCTAGGGCTTTCTAGAGTGCAGATTCACAGCTCTGAAAATCTTCATCCGAGACATGGGACAAACTTTTTAATCCTCTACTGTACTTTCAGTGCATTTATGTTACGTAATACGGTGACCAAAACCAGTACATTCTAAATTAGGCCTAACTAGACAGTAACAACCCGAGGGCTCTTATTCTCTTATATGAAGCCAAGAATTCTGTTACCTAAATTGCGAACACTTTTGCACTTATGTTTCAGATTACTGCTAACTAATTCTTCCTGCAATTAGTAACAAGATCTACATAGTTTCATTTTCGTGTGCAAGGTTTAAAAAATTGCTGTGGTTTACATTAATTTGGATATGCCACTTCGACCACTGCATCAGTGGTCGAATCTTCCTGTAGTGCTCCAATGTCAATGAATTTAGAGACATTTTGGTATCGCCAGCAAACTTTGCTTTAGTTACTTTTTTCCCCTCGTCAATGTAGTTACACAAATTGTGAAGTGGCCCAACACTAGTGGAACGCCATTCGTGATGCGTACCCACCGATTTCTCCCCAATGATGCAAACTGCTGCCTGTCAACCACGCTTCCATCCAGGAAACAGTTCTATTCCGTGTGCATCAATGAAAAGAGTTACTGAAAGTCAAACAATTGTACGAGGTACTTACTAATACCTTCGTGGAAAATGTAAATTAAGGCAGGAACGCTTTGTAAAAAGTTATGCCCTCATGATACGCCTATATATGCCGCTTTACAAACACAGCACGAGGAAAGCTACGAGTAATGAGACCCGGATCATTAGACTAAGCAACTTAATCTGAATTTTGAAGCTTGCATACTTTAAAGTACTATACTGAGAGTGCAGCGGCAGGTTAGGATTCTCACAATGGGGTTTTAATTTACTTAAGTCTGGAGTGAGCATGGTGCGTAAATACGTGAAAAAACAGTTTAGGAGTGCATAAATGCTTTTAAATATACTTACGTGAAGTCCCTGTTCCTGGCACCAACTGCGTGGAAGCTGAAGTAATAACCACCGTTGTACTGAGCAACAAATTCATCAGCAGCGTGGTTCCAGCCGCCTCCGATGTTGCTCACTACTTCCTGGAAGTGAAAATTTGTAATTAAGGGGAAGCGTTAAACCCTTACTAATAGAGCGCGCCTGTGGTGGGGGGAGGGGGGAGTAAGGCTTACCTCAGGGAACTAGCAGATTTAACTTTAGATCACGAGCCCCTCATCAGTGTCAAAGGATGTCCCTTGAGGGGTTAAAGGGACAAACTGAATACCACTAGATTTAGTGAAAATATATAAAAGGTACGAGAAACTAGCAATGTTTTTAATAAGCCTTAAAATTAAAGTTATCCAGAGAGCATTAGTTTTACTAATAAAGTAAGCGCTAAACCCGCGAGGGGCACACACTGGTGCTGCACTTAGCATGAGCAGTTAAGTAGTTTTTAGCTATTCAAACCAAAATTTAAATTAATCTACCTTAAGACTAAACCTTTAAAACTGTCCAAACTTAGAAAGTTTTTCTCAACATTTGAAAGCATGTAAAACTAGTTTTTTTACATTTGAAAAACCTAAAATAGTGATCCAAGTTTATTATTTAAAAGAAAAACCTGATCTACTGTTGGAGCACTACGCATGTGAACGTAGATCTGCTTGGACAGTTTAAGGGTTAAAGATGTGCATAAAATTTCTGAAGAATTGGTGAAAACCTGAAGTGTTGTTCAAATTTGTAGGATAAAGGAGTAAACTTTAAGAGACATTACACCGCATCAACTACATAAAAGTTGTGGCATTTAGAGCACATTTCGGGGTAATAATTAAATTTCATGGTAAGTTTAGTGTAATAGTACATAGTACTGACCTGGAACCTGAGGCGTGACACTGCCTGAAGGTTGTAAGCTTTTCTCACACTGAAGGCCACATTACGCCTGAGAAGTTAAAAGAAATTAATTTTAGGAATTTTAAGATTTTACATAAACAGTTATTAAAGTTCTTAATTAATGTTACCTTAAAAAAGGGATTGGAGGAAAGGGAAGAGTACGTGGAAGATCAGCCACCCTTGTTTCATTTTCACCATGTTTAGTAGTGGTGGAAGTAGTGTTAGCAACATCAGTCATCTTTGTCTTCCCGGCTGTGGTGTTCCCGCTTGAGGCATTTATCATTTTATCTCCATTTTGTGGTTCTAGGTTTGCCTCTGCCAGTGTTTGTTTCCATATGTGCGCATTGGTCCAGGCAGCCATTACGGCCATAATCAACACCAATAAACTGACTGCCTTGTTCATCTGCCAAATAAAAACCAAATGTTAAGGCACATTACTGTTGTGTGCATGGCAGCCTGGGAAACAATGTAGAAAATAGTGCCGCTAGTTAAGGTCAACCAAGAAACACTAGCATTATAAGCGGGTTTCCGTTTGAAGCTTAAAATGAGAACTAGGGAGCGATGCAATGGATTATAGGAGAAACTAAGGGCTAAATCCACGAGGGTCATACAGCCCTAATAATGAAGTTGAAAGCAAGCTTAAAAATAAAAAAAAAAATACGTAATTTTTATTTAGAAACATTCACGTCAATCTTAAAAAAAGAATCAACGCTGCAAATAATTTCTCCCTCCCCACATACAAGACAAATAAGTTCTTTAATATATTGTAGTTTAAAGTTCAAACTTGCTGCAGCTTTCTGTAATGCTTCAACATCAAAACCTCAATCACTTCAGCCTCTCAACGTCAGGAGTAGTAGTATATAAAAAACAGCCTACCATTATTATGAAGACAAGTTTACCGGACAACACCAGACAATCTTAGTCAGACTTCAGACGTAAGTTGACCACTAACTGGCCACTCACCTGGACTGTCTCTCCGCCTAAACTCTGGCAGTGTTAACAAGACATATTTTCAGTGTGACGATGAACTATCAAATTATGTTAGTTGCCTACACTTTATGATGCTCCAAGCGCCATCTGTTGAGTGGTAGGGACATTAATAACGAGAGAGAGAATGGAACAAATATTTGGAATGTCTGGTATAATATAATTTACATCATAATTTGTACTATAATTGGTTGATCTCGTTCAGAGCTTCATACTTACATTTTACAGATATGTAAATATAATATTTGTAAACTCGCCTTATTAAAGCAGAACTTAACTCACAGCAGTACAAAAAATAATTTGAGTACATTTCAAAACACAAGGCATCTACACCGACAGGTATGTAATGTGTATCTCTAAGTGTATATACACAGTTCTGTTTCATCCCATTCTTTGGGGTTCAGATATTTTTGACTGGTACCGATATTTTTGACTGGTACCGATATTTTTGACTGGTACCGATATTTTTGACTGATACCGTACAAGTGATAACCATCTTGGATCTTCGTCCATTTCATAGATATAAACCTGACATAGTGGTGAGAGGCTTCCAGTGTTATAAATCAGGAAAGGATCATCAACTGGGTGGTATCGGTAAGGACTAGCCTTGTAATAATGTTGGTAGAATTACCGACAGTATCTTAAGTACAAGGACACAAGTGCAACTAATGTGACATTTTTGTGGCAACACTTTTCGCTCTCCAGGAGCTTTGTCAAGCCGTTACAAACAATACACAGACACAGAGGGTATATATATGCACGGAGTGAGGTGGAAAAACCCTGGCCAGGACGGGTCCTGGCCCAGGTCTTCATGTGATGGCCCGGCTGTGACTCCCGAAGGAGTGCCACAGTTGGTACAAGTGATGTACCGTTTACAGCCCTGTGACGGGGACAGCCCTATGACAAATGGCGCGGTGACTCTTTCAACTCCAATTGAGCCATTCCTGGGACTCAGGCCACAGCCCGATTGCCAGAACGACTCAGGAGATTCTCTGCAGGTGTGTTAACATCTAGCTTCTGATGTATGTATGTATAATGTTCGCCAAGACCGGAGTCTTGGCATGGGTCTTAATCTTGCGATGACCCGTGTCTGGCTTCCGAAGGAGAAAGGTTTCTGCAATGTTGCAACGTATGCTGATCAAGCACTGTTCTGGTTATTTCATCTGGTGCGTCTCATAAGCGACACCACCGTATGCACTCCTAACTGTGGACACTAGCGAGGAGGAGGATATAACGTTATCATGGGCAACAGCTTGTCTGGTTCGTTGACTCCATGGTACACTAGTGTAGCCGCAGTCCTCTCTGGGTCTTCTTCGGGAGGGGACATCAGTACTAGTTGCCTATGGAATGTCTCAGTAGCTTGGCACTCCAGGAGATAGTGTGTTAGGGGGCGCTGGACAACGTGCTGGCAGTGCTGGGAAATCTCCTCTGCCTTGTCTACTATCATCTTGGCTGTAGGAAAGCCCAAACGAAGCCGATGGATGGCGGTACACTGCGCTCTGGACCAGCTTCTATCATATGGAGGGGGTTCTTCCTGAGTCGCTGTTCGGTACCACTGTTGAGATGGGGTATCACCTAGGACCTCCCCCATAAGTTACATTGCTCTGGCAGCCACCAGTTTGGTCTGGCGTAGGCTGATGGGGACAGTAATACCAACATGTGGATAATCTGTGGCTGCCTTGGCTGCATCCAGTTCAATGTTGATCTGTTACCCTGAGCTTCTAAGGCTGTCATTATGCTCAGGATCGATGTGATGAAGTGATCATTATCCTGTGGTTGAGGATGGGAGAGGGCATTGATTGCAGAGGTGGAGTCAACATGTATGTCGTAGGACATGTGACAATGCTGAATCGCCACCAGCTCAGCTTGAAGGATCGTGCAGTGGTCAGGGAGTCGCCAGCCTTGTGTGTGACCATTGTGGTACAGTTCAGCTGCTGCTCTCTTCCTGTCAGGGTCGACAGAACCATCTGTGAAATACACTGCACATGTGCGTCTCCCTGCCAGTGCCATGCTTGTCTCAGCATGATTGCTGAGGGTGCCTTGACTGCAGAGACGCTTAGAGGTAGGTAGTTGCATGACGCAGACATCAGCCAGATCTGGGCGCCAGGGAGTTGGTGGATAATACCCAGCAACAGGAAGGTCACAACTTTTCTCAAGGAGTAATTGTATAGGCAGCAGCTTCCGCCCAGCAGCACAAAATGAACGAATTCAGGAGTAGTCCGTGAAGAGAGTTGGATCTTGTGTCATAGTTACCAATATCCGTCTTCTCTGTAGGGTGCCTTGCTGCCGGTGCAGAATTGTGGCTACTTGGCATGCGTTTATGTATCTTACTTTATCAGCCAGGGAAGGAAGCCGGGCCTCAAATCTGAAACATAGTGTGTTGGTCCAGATGGGGGCCCCAAGCATAGTTCTTATCGCCCTTGCCTACTCTGAGGAAAGAGATGAGCCAACGCCGTTGCACAGTAGTCAATGAGCGAGCGCACAGCTTGTATATAGTACAAGCGAAGTACATCTTTGCTCGCCCCTGCACGGTGCCTCGTCATGGCTCTCATGGCATTGAGTCAGTAGAGCACGGGATCTGACATACTCGGCCTGTTTCTGAAAGGTCAGCTTTTTATCAGTGTAGATTCCCAAGTATAGGTAGGAGCCTGTCAACTCAAGTTCTATATCCTGAATACGTAATCTGTTCACAGGATCTGGTCCTGTGGAAAATACTGTATATATTTTCCAGAAATACAGTAGTCATTTGTAAATAGATGGCCATACTGTATTTAATAAAAGTTATGTTATCGAAAATGGGAAGCCTGCGCCTGCACAGAGGAGTCGCCATTATTGTTTGAATTGAACAGACGTTGTGAATAATGGGAAGAATTTTTCGTGCTCTAGAGGTTAAAATTGGGTTGACACCTCTCAAATAGGAGGCGAAATTGTTGGATGTGCATTCCTGCATAACTTGAGATATCAGGCGACAGGACAGGACAACTCCAGGAACTTCAGATAAGCTGTCTAATTTATGTTTAAATTCTGGACAGTAAATTTTTCATAAATGTAGGCAAAAGGAGGGGTCCTGTACATGACACATTAATCTCCAGTCAAATTGGTGAGTGTTATGATTAAGATATATTCTCCTTCTGTTATATAAATGTGTATATATATAATTCTTTATTAATTTAATATACAGTCCACAAATTTATATATTTACCAGCACTCCTGGTGATGTATTTTTCATTTGTAATTAATAGGTCCAGAGCAACTTGTGGATATGACAGTGGTAGGTATCGATGGGGGACATCTTTTGCGACCTAGGTGTCCCAAATTCCTACTTGTCTAACTGATAAATAATAATTATCTTTGTTCATTTACTGTTATGTATATAATGATGCATTCAGATAAATGCAATTTTCTACCTTTAATTTGCCCGTTGGTCCTTCTTGAACCGGAGGTAATTAGTGAAGTCATTAATTAGTTAATTACTTAATAATTATATGTGAAATGACAGGAGGAGGTGGATGTTAAATTCACAAATTTACTTAATGTTTAGTGAATTATAATTATTACAATATTAATTTGGATAAGCCAAGTGTGGCTAAAGATTATATTGTGTATAATATTAATTTTGCTATGCCAAATTCTGGCAAGGATTTATATTTGTATAATATTAATTGATAAGACAATTCTGGCCAAGATTTATATCAGTGTTTTTTTTATATTTTATTTAAAATACAGTATACATTATGCGTGTAAGCAAACATGTCACTAAACCAATCAACATGGAACAACAAAATTAAAGTACAACATACGTATACACCATCAAAAAAGAAAAAGAAACTTCACACAGGTGTACCAACAACATATCCAGAGAATCTACTTCAGCACACTTAAACATCTTATGCCAAGTTTTATATACAAAACAATTCTTAAAGGTAAAAACCTCACCACATACCATTAAAACCTATACATCCACCCCCACCAAAGGTACATTTATAAAGTCGTACATATGTGCTCTGGAAGTAAAAGGTACCCCTCCCCCCCCTCATCAAATACCAACAAAACATTGACATA